TAGGAAGTGGTTCCCTGTGCCAATGCGTTCAGGTGTACTTCCCACTTTCTCTTCTATAAGGTTCAGTGTGCTGGCTTTATGTTGAGGCAAGACAGGGTTTTTCTGTGTCCTGACTGTCCTGAACTTAACTCTGTAGACCAGGCTGGCCTGGAACACGTAGAGATCACCTCACTCCACCTTTACCTCTTGAGTGTTGGGCTCAAAGGTGTGGGCTGCCACTACCTGGTTTCATTTGGGTTTTAAGTGCTATCTTTCTCCTTTCTTGACTTTAGCTCAAGCTTTGCATTAATTATTTATCCACCAATCTTGGGAAGGTGGTGGCCAACAGGACAGCAGGTTTAGGAGGCTCCTCCTTTAGGTGTCTTGTTTTCAGATGTGCAGAAAGGCCTCTTTCATAAATATTTTCTTGGATGACCGATTCTAGAATGCCTCAGAAAGCAGAGATGGATTGTTGATAATAATTGAGAAGACCAACAGATGGCAAAGGGCTTTTGCTGTTTTGAATCACAGTCTTTCTTAAACTTACAGTGACTTAAAACTTGCCATCATTTTGCCTTTTACCTTCTAGCTTGATGGAGAAGACAACTTTGAATACTTGTTCTCAATAATGGTTTTTTTTTTTTTTTGGTTTTTCGAGACAGGGTTTCTCTGTGGTTTTGGAGCCTGTCCTGGAACTAGCTCTGTAGACCAGGCTGGTCTCGAACTCACAGAGATCCGCCTGCCTCTGCCTCCCTAGTGCTGGGATTAAAAAGAATGTTTTATCTTCATTGCTGATGTTACCTTTTTTTTTAAAAAAAAAAATTGTCAGGCATGGTGTCACATTAGGGAGGCAGAGGCAGGTAGGTCTCTGTGAGTTTGAAACCAGCATGGTCTACAAGTGAGTTCTAGGACATGTCGCGCTACAGAGAGAAACCCTGTCTCGAAAAAAAAATTTATTATTACTATTGTATGTGTGTGCTTGTATGTGTGTATGTGCATGTGAAAACTATCTGTAGGAGTCAGTTCTTTCCTTGAACCATGTGGGTCCTGGGGTCATACTCAGGTCATCAAACTCCTACAGAGAGAAACCCTGTCTCGAAAAAAAAATTATTATTACTATTGTATGTGTGTGCTTGTATGTGTGTATGTGCATGTGAAAACTATCTGTAGGAGTCAGTTCTTTCCTTGAACCATGTGGGTCCTGGGGTCATACTCAGGTCACAAACTCAGTAAAAAGTGCCTTGATCCACTGTTACCTTTACCTTTCAGTTAATGAGTTTGGAGCTGGTTAAATGAAAGCTTAAAGAAGTTGTATATTGATATGCTTTAATGAGCTGTGAGGAAGGTTTCTTTGATATATACTATTTCTTTTCTCCCTTTTTTGAGATTTGGGATTTCTTGGAACTTTTTCCTGTGGATAGATGTTTGAATATAAAATTTATAGACTGATACCTTGGAGTGATCCAAGAAGGCTAGTTCAGACTGGCTTCATTTATACTTGACAGCTGAAGGCTGAGGTGCAGCGCTGCTGACTTTAGGTCAGAGACCCCCTACTAAATACCATTGCTGTCCAGCATATTGGCCTCTGCTTATTACAGTATGTGAAAAGTAACTGACATTATTGTCATGTGATGTTTTCATGCTTTGAAAATAGACGGGAATTGGTAGGGTAAAGCAGGGATCATTTCTGAATCCTGATGGTTAAAGGTGAGTAATACTTAATCCCTTGAGTTTTGTTACCATGCCTGTTGAGTTCTTAAAGTTAATATTGAAAGATGTTTCATTTGTGCATGATAGATAAATAATATTTATGATGCTGACGTGAAGCTTTCCCCTCTATTCTGAACACTAGGTACGCTCAATGGATGAATTAAATCATGATTTTCAAGCACTTGCTCTGGAGGGAAGAGCTATGGGCGAGGTAAGTGAGTTGGTGTGGTTGAAAGTGGGAAGCTTGGAGTTGTCTTTGATTAGATGTGTCTGAATCTAGTCTCTAGAAATATGTGCTTGCTTTTCTCTGTTGCCATCCTCACAGTAGGAATAGGATGCTGGATAGCCGTGTCAAAACTACTGATACAGAATGACTATTAACTTAGTCCAGTTACTTAAACAACAAAGCACCAACATATGAACATACATTAATAAGTAAGTTAATAAGTTAGATGTAATGTGAGGTGTTCAAACATTTTAATTTTATATTTATTAAGTATTTTACTTCATTTTTCAGTGGCTAGGTGTTTTGACTGTTGGAAAGGGAGTTTTAGATGTGCTGATAATCAGAGGATGTCAGTAACCTGTTTAGACCAGTGTCTTTCAAAAGAAATTACCCAGGACTACATTGTGAACGCAGGATGCTTCTTAGGTTTCTGGTCAGATACAGATAGAGATCTCAGCTAGTCGTTCAGAAACAAGAACTTTAGTTTCTTTTTAGTGTTTAATTTTTTTGTTCATTATATTGATAAGTAGAATTGCCATTGTTTCATAGGGGAATATAGTTAAAGAACACCCAACTTCTGAAGGTTCAGCTTGTTGACAGGACTCCTACTGATGGACAGATACTGCAGACTGTTCAAATGTATTGCTGAAGACTGCATAGGTTCATAAGAGGCCATTTGCTTGTGACTGTCCTTTTGGGCAGAACTCTGGGTTTGTCTGTTGTTCTGTACTTAAAAATTCTCTTACCTACTTTGATGTTTTGGAGTAGGGAGATGACTGTGCTTCAGATTTTTCTCATGTACTAGCCATTAGATAACATTTGTTTGGTTTAGTGAATGCTATTTGGTCTGGCCATTGTGCTAGGTTTGGAAGATTCAGAAGTAACACAGTTCCTTTGCTGGGTTTACACTGAGCACTCCTGGGTTGCTTCTGTGATAGCATTGAGTGGTCACAAGCTTCTGCTGCTTTGTCCTGGGATTCTTGCTCATTTTGTTGGAAGATTTTGCTTTGACTTTTTCTGAATTTTCTTATGCTTAGAAAAGTAGTTTCTGCCTCATCATCTTGGGCTCTGAATTTTAGGAAATGATTGATAGGGGTCCTTGTGTTAATAACTGCCTGCCTACTGTCATTGGAGCAGCATGCTTTAATAAACCTTGCATGTTATTGGGTAAAAACTTTGTTACTTTATTTCTAGCATAAGATTTGAAGAGAAAACTATCAGATTTGGTAGCTATTAAATATGGAAGGATAAATCATTTTTCTATTCCTGTGATTCTAACCTATTTGTTAAAAGTCAAATTCTAAAGCTGAGTATGTTGGCTCATGCCTTTAATCCCAGCATTGGGAGACTGAGGTATGAAGGATCATTCAAGGTCAGCCTGGACATCATGGTTGAGTGTATTATTAGTTAGTTTTCTGCTGTAATAAAATGAGCAAGGGTGACTTAAGGAAAAGATAGAGTTTATTTGAGCTTCTGGTTCTAGAGGGAGAGTTTGTAATGGTAGAAGAGGCATGACCATAAGCCATGGGAGCAGAAAGTGGAGAGATCAAATCTTTTATCTTTGACATGAAACACACTTGAAGTGGTATGAAACTTTAAAAGCTGCCTCTAAAGTGATTTACTTCCCCCAGCAATGCTGTACCTCCCTATAACCTCTTATAACCTCTCTAAACAGTGTTACCACTTGGAGACCAACTGTTCATTAATGCCTGAGCCTGTACGGACCTTTCTCATTCAAACTTCCAGAACACAAACCACATTCACAAAGCACCTGTGCTGACTACAGTTTGTTAACTACCTTCTAGGCAGATATCAGGACCCACTGAGGACACAGTTTTATTCTCCACACAAGGAAAGATATTATCCCTTCTTGAAGCTCAGATGACTCACACAAGTTAACTCTCCAAAACACAAAAAGGGCAGTGAAGTACAGAGTGAAGGAAACCCTGAATCTACATGGAAAGAATAACAAGTTTCTTCTATAGCTGAAACTTAGAGAAGAAGGGCTTTGAGAGCAGCATATCAGTATCATGAGGAGAGGGTACCAGACTGAGAAAGCATCTTTTGGTCAAATGAGGACTCAGTTACATACATGCAGATTGGGATATACCACTCTCTCAATCCAGGGGAGAGTAGGATAGCAGAACCATAGCAATATGCTTTAAATTTTTTTTTGTGAGACAGGGTTTCTTTGTGTAATAGCTATCCTGGAACTCAGTTTCTAGAAGAGACTGGCCTCGAACTCACAGTGATGCGCCTGCGTGCCTCAGTCTCCCTAGTGCTGGGATTAAAGGCTTCAGCCGCCACCACCGGCTAATTCCAACTTCTAATTGCTTGATTTTTTTCTTTGTATTTATCAATAAAACATCTCTTGAAGGGAGTAATACAGTATTTACTAATACAAAGACTAAATTTAAATGGATTGGATGGACTTTTAAGCTAGGCATAGTGGTGTGGTGGGGAGGGAGAGAGAATACAAAGTACATGAATGTATGGGTCTTTAAAGCTTCAAAGAATGTGTTAGTGCTGCCTTACTGTGTTCAAAGCCTTTGCCATAGATAGAAAAATTTTGAGTGTTTCATAGTAGAAATTTTGCTAAGAAGTTGTTACTTAAAATACCACTCACATCTTTGCTGTGTCTGGAGTGCAGCTGGTGTGGGCTTTTTTTTCTTTCCTTCTCCCCGTTCTTGGTTTTTGGAGATAGAGCTTCTCTGAAGCTTTGGAACCTGTCCTGGAGCTCACTCTGTAGACCAGGCTGACCTCAAACTTACAGAGATCCACCTGTCTCTATCTCCAGAGTGCTGGGATTAAAGGTGTGCTGAACCTACTTTGTGGCCCGTAAAGTCCAGCTGTTTTTAGCTGAAGGGTTTTCATTCCCCATTGGTAGAATGTGAAAAAGGAATAAAGAACAATGCCTTGGGATATGGATGATAAGCTAAGTCCTATGAGCTCTTTCATTCAACTTAAAAGCCCTCAAAAGTTTTTTTTTTTTTTTTTTTTTTAAAGTCAAAAAGCTCAGTGGATTCAGGAAAGCTTATGTTCTTTTGTGGTCATCGATACCAAATATCTGACAACAACAAAACAGTAGAGGATTTTTTTTTTTAAAATTTATAGGAGATGAGCCCTCTTCAGGATTTGTTTTTATTTTTTGTATATGGATGTTTTGCCTGTATATGTCTCTCCAGCTCAGGATTATTTATTTTAGCTCTCAGTTTCTGGGTTTGGGAACATTTAACAGAAGAACTTCTTTATGGCAGCCAGAATGCAATTAGTGAAACGGGCATACAGGAAGAGACTATAGCAACATGCTAGGACATACTTCCAGGACTCTATGTAGTCCCTGTTTTCTGCCTTCCTCCACCCCCCAGTAATGACAGCTTTTTAAGACTCCACTAGGGGGTTGATCACTCATGATACCAGAGTTTCTGGAGGGGCCTCGCTCTGTTTTGCTTTTAGTCAATTCTGAATCCAGTCTGGTTGACTATCACAGTTAACTATCATGTTGACTTAAACTTTCTTCATTGTTTTCCCGTGTGGTCCTTTCTTTCTATGTAGAAGGATGGTTAGGATGTAACTGTTTATGTTCTAAAAGGATGAATTTGTGGAAAGGAATGAAGTATTGTGAGAGCCATTGACAAAAAGATTCCCTTAGTGGATAGTTGACCTTTGTCTTCTCTATTGTTTATTTGTGGTTGTCTAAAAAAAATATTTTTGTATAGGGTCTATGGTTTTGTTTTTGTTCTTTTTAAGACAGAGTTTCACTATGTATCCTTAGCTTGGAGCTCGATTTGGAGGTTAAGCTGACCTTAAACTCATTAAGAGATATACCTGTCTCTTTCTCTGCCTCCTAACATCTGAGATTAAAGGCATGTGCTACTGCAATGGGCCTGATGAGATAGTCTCATTCTACTGGAACTCACTATGTTTCTCAGGCTGCCTTTGAAATATAGTTCTCTTACCTCAGCCTCCCAAGGACTGGGGTTACTAGCATGAACTAGCTGAATTTTTCTAACCTTTATAGAACAAGTGTCTTTTTTTTTTTCCTTTTTAGAATGTTGGTGATGATGTAGGGTCTCATATAGCTCATGTCATGCTGGCCTCAATAAGTGACCTTGAATACATTCTCCTGCCTCCACTTGTAAATGTTAATGTTCTAGTCATTCACCGTCACAATGAGCTAAGATTCCATAATGTTTTATATATCTAGGATAGCTTAATAGTGCAGGCCACCATGTCATTCTGGATTAAACTGAATATATTTAGATAGCCCTTCATCATTTAGAAAAATACTTGGTGTTAGATTTTAAATCTGATTTGAGAAGGGGCTGGAAAGATGGCTCATCGGTTAAGAGCACTGGCTCCTCTTCCAGAGGACTCAGGTTCAGTTTCAAGCATTCACATGGCAGCTCACAGTTGTCTGTAACTCCAGTTCTTGGGGTTTTGACTCCCTTTCAACAGACATGCATGCAGGCAAAATACCAGTGGACATAAAATAAAAATAAATCATTAAAAAAACTGTTTAAGAAAATCTAAGACACCTTCCCTAAATACAAAGTGATAGAGTTCTTCCATATTCACCAGTAGACTTTAAATGATAATTGCAGATACCAGAAATTAGAAAAGAATAATATCCCTGATTGTAAGACAGTTTTAAAAATGTTTATTTTTTTAGGGGTTGTGTCTCTTACTGTGACAGTCTGGCTGGCCAGGAACTTTCTGCCTCCTTAGTACTGGGGTTAAAAGCATGTAGAGGAGGGAGTGATTTGATAGTGATCTGGAAAACTGTTTATTCAGAGAAAGAAAATTTCGTAGGGTAGAAATAGCATAGATAGCAGGGCCTTAGCCAGTGCTCCCGTCTGTGGTTCTAACATTTATCTTTGGACTTTGCTTCTTTCTTTCTCTAGGAGATGTTGAGTAAGAGAGTTTAGTTCTAGGATGTTCCCAGATCAGAGATTGCTGGAGTTTGACCTTATGTTGACAAAGAA